ACTGTTTATTTGTATTTGTATTTTAGTTTTTTTGCTCGGGTTAAGCCCTAAAATAAAGGACCACGAATTCGAACCAGCTGGTTCGTTAGCGTTGTTTCTGGCCCGGTAAAATCATGATAGTTAATATTTATCGCCAGATGGTTAAGATTTATCATTAGATGGTTAAGATTTATCATCAGATAGTTAAGATTTATCATCAGATGGTTAAGATTTATCATCAGATGGTTCAGGTTTATCACCAGATGGTTAAGATTTATCATCAGATGGTTAAGATTTATCATCAGATAGTCAAGATTTATCATCAGATAGCTAAGATTTATCATCAGATAGTCAAGATTTATCATCAGATGGTTAAGATTTATCATCAGATAGTCAAGATTTATCATCAGATGGTGATAAATTAATATTCATCATTAGATACTTAAGATTTATCATCAGATAGTTAAGATTTATCACCAGATGGTTAAGATTTATCACCAGATGGTTAAGATTTATCATCAGATAGTTAAGATTTATCATCAGATAGCTAAGATTTGTCATCAGATAGTCAAGATTTATCATCAGATGGTTAAGATTTATCATCAGACAGTCAAGATTTATCATCAGATAGTCAAGATTTATCATCAGATAGTTAAGATTTATCATCAGATGGTTAAGATTTATCATCTTATAGCTAAGATTTATCATCAGATGGTCAAGATTTATCATCAGATAGCTAAGATTTATCATCAGATAGTTAAGATTTATCATCAGATAGCTAAGATTTATCATCAGATAGTTAAGATTTATCATTAGATAGCTAAGATTTATCATCAGATGGTTAAGATTTATCATCAGATAGCTAAGATTTATCATCAGATAGTTAAGATTTATCATCAGATAGCTAAGATTTATCATCAGATAGTTAAGATTTATCATCAGATAGCTAAGATTTGTCATCAGATGGTTAAGATTTATCATCTGATGATAAAGCTTAACCATCTGGTGATATATCTTGATCATCTGATGATAAATTAATATTCATCATTAGATGATTAAGGTTAATATTTATCATCAGATAGCTAAGATTTATCATCAGATGGTTAAGATTTATCATTAGATAGCTCAGATTTATCATCAGTAGGTTAAGATTTATAATCAGATGGTTAAGATTCATCACCAGATGGTTAAGATTTATCATCAGATGGCTAATATTTATCATGAAATAGCTAAGATTTATCACCAGATGGTTCAGATTCATCTCCAGGTGTTAATATGGTAAATTGGCATGTAAATAAAAACTTCACATATTTGTATACTGTTTTATTGTAATGTTTCCTCATGCATGGATCATAGTGACAAGTAATAATGCTAAAGCATAAATCAATAAATAAATGAACAAACAGATGGATTATAAATATGTATCACAACTAATATGAGAGCACCATGCATACTACACACTGTATGGTCAATTATATCTATAGACAAAACGGCCCAAAGCCAGCCGGATATTGCTGCGATCACCCTTAGACGATTTGCAGTAACTACAATAATCTAAAGACAGTCTGAAGTGATTACAATAACCCTGACACAGTCTGACGTGGTTACAATAAGCCTTACACAGTCTGACGTGGTTACAATAACCCTGACACAGTCTGACGTGGTTACAATAAGCCTTACACAGTCTGACGTTGTTACAATAACTCTGACACAGTCTGACGTTGTTACAATAACCCTTTCACAGTCTGACGTGGTTACAATAACCCTTATACAGTCTGACGTTGTTACAATAACCCTTATACAGTCTGACGTTGTTACAATAACTCTGACACAGTCTGACGTGATTACAACAATAACTCTGACACAGTCTGACGTGATTACAATAACCCTTACGCAGTCTGACGTTGTTACAATAACCCTTGCACAGTCTGACGTGGTTACAATAACCCTTACACAGTCTGACGTGGTTACAATAACCCTTACACAGTCTGACGTAGTTACAATAACTCTGACACAGTCTGACGTGGTTACAATAACCCTTACACAGTCTGACGTGGTTACAATAACCCTTACACAGTCTGACGTGGTTACAATAACCCTTACACAGTCTGACGTGGTTACAATAACCCTTACACAGTCTGACGTGGTTACAATAACCCTTACACAGTCTGACGTGGTTACAATAACCCTTACACAGTCTGACGTGGTTACAATAACCCTTACACAGTCTGACGTGGTTACAATAACCCTTACACAGTCTGACGTGGTTACAATAACCCTTACACAGTCTGACGTGGTTACAATAACCCTTACACAGTCTGACGTGGTTACAATAACCCTTACACAGTCTGACGTGGTTACAATAACCCTTACACAGTCTGACGTGGTTACAATAACCCTTACACAGTCTGACGTGGTTACAATAACCCTTACACAGTCTGACGTGGTTACAATAACCCTTACACAGTCTGACGTGGTTACAATAACCCTTACACAGTCTGACGTGTTTACAATAACCCTTATACAGTTTGGTGTAGCACACAGAATACCAACACAAGGCCAGTTAAGAACTTAAACGGATTTTGATCAAATGTTTACACGATCGGCTAGGCATTCAGATTTTCTACATAGTTCTGTTCCAGTAGGTTCTTCCTCGTGTGACGTCACGGCGTGTATGCTTTGCATACGTATACTTTCTCCTTGCTACTCAATTAAATATTCATCAATGTAAATGATGTGCAAATAAAAAAAATAAAAAATTAAACGTTTTAAGACTCATCATATATAATGACAAATATCGTATTTCATTTAATTTCATTTAACTCATGTAATGAATTACATAAGGACCTGGTTTTTGATACTTACATATGATGAAATATGTCCTGTCTATTAAATGTTTTAAGAATAAGTTTTAGATTAAGGAATGGTTTTCCCACACAGAAAGGTAAGGACCCTATTTCTAGGTTCAAGGTCGTTTCTTTGAAACTGCTGAAATCTCATATCCATGCAATAGCCTAGATCGAAAAGAAATATGGTGGGCCATATGTTTTGTTAAATTTAAATGCGTATTACACATTATTGTGCTGATTGAAAAGGGGTGGTTCCCATGTATATCCCCGAGGGGGGACCTAGCTGATGTCCTATTCGATCGTGTCTTCCCCAATCGACTACAGGTCAAGTTTTATACTTGTTTCCCCGCAAGTATTATGTATATGTATCACGCTTGTTAAATTTATAAATAATTAAAACTCAAAGTTAACATTCCGACTGATATCACCTCAGCAAAGTATATCATGACAGTATTTTCACATAACACTGCAACCAGTAATGATGGCATCATGCTTTATTATAAAGACTACAAGAACGTACCGTCTGTCTCTCTCAGAGCTGGGATACCGACTAATACATTCCAGAGTTTCACGTTCCGGACGCTGTTTGATGTGTTTCACGTTATGGACGCTGTTTGGTTTGTTTCACGTTATGGACGGTGTTTGATGTGTTTCGCGTTATGAACGCTTCTTCGTGTTTTAAGATATGGATGTTTTTTGATGTGTATGTTACACGGTGTAGTCGCTGTTTGATGGGTATGTTACACGCTGTAGTCGCTGTTTGATGTGTATGTTACACGCTGTAGTCGCTGTTTGATGTGTATGTTACACGCTGTAGTCGCTGTTTGATGTGTATGTTACACGCTGTAGTCGCTGTTTGATGTGTATGTTACACGCTGTAGTCGCTGTTTGATGTGTATGTTACACGCTGTAGTCGCTGTTTGATGTGTATGTTACACGCTGTAGTCGCTGTTTGATGTGTATGTTACACGCTGTAGTCGCTGTTTGATGTGTATGTTACACGCTGTAGTCGCTGTTTGATGTGTATGTTACACGCTGTAGTCGCTGTTTGATGTGTATGTTACACGCTGTAGTCGCTGTTTGATGTGTATGTTACACGCTGTAGTCGCTGTTTGATGTGTATGTTACACGCTGTAGTCGCTGTTTGATGTGTATGTTACACGCTGTAGTCGCTGTTTGATGTGTATGTTACACGCTGTAGTCGCTGTTTGATGTGTATGTTACACGCTGTAGTCGCTGTTTGATGTGTATGTTACACGCTGTAGTCGCTGTTTGATGTGTATGTTACACGCTGTAGTCGCTGTTTGATGTGTATGTTACACGCTGTAGTCGCTGTTTGATGTGTATGTTACACGCTGTAGTCGCTGTTTGATGTGTATGTTACACGCTGTAGTCGCTGTTTGATGTGTATGTTACACGCTGTAGTCGCTGTTTGATGTGTATGTTACACGCTGTAGTCGCTGTTTGATGTGTATGTTACACGCTGTAGTCGCTGTTTGATGTGTATGTTACACGCTGTAGTCGCTGTTTGATGTGTATGTTACACGCTGTAGTCGCTGTTTGATGTGTATGTTACACGCTGTAGTCGCTGTTTGATGTGTATGTTACACGCTGTAGTCGCTGTTTGATGTGTATGTTACACGCTGTAGTCGCTGTTTGATGTGTATGTTACACGCTGTAGTCGCTGTTTGATGTGTATGTTACACGCTGTAGTCGCTGTTTGATGTGTATGTTACACGCTGTAGTCGCTGTTTGATGTGTATGTTACACGCTGTAGTCGCTGTTTGATGTGTATGTTACACGCTGTAGTCGCTGTTTGATGTGTATGTTACACGCTGTAGTCGCTGTTTGATGTGTATGTTACACGCTGTAGTCGCTGTTTGATGTGTATGTTACACGCTGTAGTCGCTGTTTGATGTGTATGTTACACGCTGTAGTCGCTGTTTGATGTGTATGTTACACGCTGTAGTCGCTGTTTGATGTGTATGTTACACGCTGTAGTCGCTGTTTGATGTGTATGTTACACGCTGTAGTCGCTGTTTGATGTGTATGTTACACGCTGTAGTCGCTGTTTGATGTGTATGTTACACGCTGTAGTCGCTGTTTGATGTGTATGTTACACGCTGTAGTCGCTGTTTGATGTGTATGTTACACGCTGTAGTCGCTGTTTGATGTGTATGTTACACGCTGTAGTCGCTGTTTGATGTGTATGTTACACGCTGTAGTCGCTGTTTGATGTGTATGTTACACGCTGTAGTCGCTGTTTGATGTGCATGTTACACGCTGTAGTCGCAGTTTGATGTGTATGTTACACGCTGTAGTCGCTGTTTGATGTGTATGTTACACGCTGTAGTCACTGTTTGATGTGCATGTTACACGGTGTAGTCGCTGTTTGATGTGTATGTTATACCCTGTAGTCGCTGTTTGTTTATGTTCTACATTATTTATATTGCGCAAATCAAAGCTATCATATACTAGTATTCCAATTGATGTAATTAAATCAAGTAGCATCTGCCTGAAGGAATGCTAACTTCTGTATTATGATAAATACTGATGATAATCCAGACCTGATTATTTGATGATATGTAAACATTTAAACGAAACAGCTACATGTATATATTCTTCATAATTGACGCATATATACGAAACTATTGCTGATTTAATGTTAATGTATAGTACCAATCTAAGACTGATTCATCACTTCAAACGAATCCAAGGTCAATTCCTTGCTGTCCTTATGACACTGGTTGACGACAGTTGCTACGTCACCACGTCCCATGTCGCGGAGGGCGGTTGCGAGGCGATCTACGGCGCCATCTTTCTTGTCTTTCATTTGACGCTTCCAGTAGAGAAGGATCTTATACGTCACATCCGCCATGCTTAGACCGTTGGATATTGCGTCAAAACCAAGACCGGTGATAGTGCTGTCAGGAAGATCCAGATGCACAGCTAACGTCAGTCCTTCCGGGACTAACTTCGATAAAGTTCGTAAACTTTTACCGGAAATCGTCTTTGATTCTTTTTCCACTGAAATTAAGAAAAAAGATAAAATGATAAAATATCCCATTTTGTTATGTTACAGTTAAGTTTAAAGCATTTACTGAATGATATAATGGTAACCATGAACTGACTGATCTTTGACAGCGTACAAGACCTATACTAAATAGGTAACTTTGTCACGTACAATATGTAAACTCGTAATTGATTTTCAATTAACAAGTATGGCAAGACTTACATTAATAATGCTTTTGTCACTAAAATCAATATAAAGCTAATTGATTTGCTGTTTCAATGTACAGAACAATATAAATTACACAGGTAATGGTATTTCCTCTGGGATGCACTCATCACTCAATGCGCAGTCAGTCTAACATACGTAATTTAAATGTCACTTTCGGAATACTTTACACCAATAAACATGGCACTCCGAGAATAATAAAATGTAGTCACCTCATACACACGTCAATAATTGACAAGTAAGTTACTTGACATAACTAGGTAATATCAGCCAATTATTCCCCGTCATTTCGATCTAACTGTCTATTAATTTTCGGTTCTACTGTCTGTCTATTTTATATCCTACCGTCTGTCTATTTTATATCTTACTGTCTGTTTAGTTTATATCCTACTGTCTGTCTAGTTTATATCCTACTGTCTGTCTAGTTTATATCTTACTGTCTGTCTATTTTATATCCTACTGTCTGTCTGTTTTATATCTTTCTGTCTGTCTAGTTTATATCTTACTGTCTGTCTATTTTATATCCTACTGTCTGTCTGTTTTATATCTTACTGTCTGTCTAGTTTATATCTTACTATCTGTCTATTTTATATATGACTGTCTGTTTAGTTTATATTCTACTGTCTGTCTAGTTTATATCCTACTGTCTGTCTAGTTTATATCCCACTGTCTGTCTATTTTATATCTTACTGTCTGTCTATTTTATATCTTACTGTCTGTCTAGTTTATATCATACTCTCTGTCTATTTTATATCCTACTGTCTGTCTAGTTTATATCTTATTGTCTGTCTATTTTATATCTTACTGTCTGTCTATTTTATATCTTACTGTCTGTCTATTTTACATCATACTCTCTGTCTATTTTATATCTTACTGTCTGTCTAGTTTATATCTTACTGTCTGTCTATTTTATATCATACTCTCTGTCTATTTTATATCCTACTCTCTGTCTAGTTTATATCTTACTGTCTGTCTAATTTATATCTTATTGTCTGTCTATTTTATATCTTACTGTTTGTCTATTTTATATCTTACTGTCTGTCTATTTTATATCATACTCTCTGTCTATTTTATATCTTAGTGTCTGTCTAGTTTATATCTTATTGTCTGTCTATCTCATATCTTACTGTCTGTCTATTTTATATCATACTCTCAGTCTATTTTATATCTTACTGTTTGTCTATTTTATATCTTATTGTCTGTCTATTTTATATCTTACTGTCTGTCTAGTTTATATCTTACTGTCTGTCTATTTTATATCATACTCTCTGTCTATTTTATATCCTACTGCCTGTCTATTTTATATCTTACTGTCTGTCTATTTTATATCTCAGTGTCTGTCTGTTTTATTTCCTTCTGTTTGTTATTTTATTTCCTTCTGTCTGTTATTTTATTTATTTCTGTCTGTCTATAATTTTTCCTTCTGTCTGTTCATTTGTAAATAGGTATGGATACACATTACATCACTATACAATAGTTCGAGATATTCTGTCATTGCTTCAGGCATGTCTTCCGTGGTAAGGTTGAATTTTGTTTAAATGCATGCATAACTATAACTAAGGAGTGAACAAAACATACACAATGAAATAATGCTCTTCGTCATGTACAGTGTCATGCTCAAAACACAATCATCTCTAAAGGATGTCGTCAACAAAAACGGTATTCGGTTTATCTAGGGACTGGACTATATAATCTAGTGTTCATATCAAATGGATTGGCTGCCGAACTCTTTTTCCACTTTACATTATTCTGAGTTATTTTAGGCGAACTTTACTGATAAAATTAACCCTTTGATTACTTTCTGCTGGCACAGCTAAAGCTGGTAAGCATTATGGGGAGCTACTTGGGTTGTTACACAGGAACTTAACTCATCTATCCCCTATATCGAACATTTGTTAATGAAAATTGATGTCAATGAACGAGCCATTTAATGTCAGTAATTGTCAGTCATTGTAAGCTAATGTCAGTCATTGTCAGTCATTGTCAGCTAATGTCAGTCATTGTCAGTCATTGTCAGCTAATGTCAGTCATTGTCAGTCAATGTCAGTCTTTGTCAGCTAATGTCAGTCATTATCAATCATTGTCAGTGATTGTCAGCTAATGTCAGTCATTGTCTGTCATTGTCAGCTAATGTCAGTCATTGTCAGCTAATGTCAGTTATTATCAGTTAATGTCAGTGATTGTCAGTGATTGTCAGTGATTGTCAGTGATTGTCAGTTAATGTCAGTCATTGTCAGTCATTGTCAGTGATTGTCAGTCATTGTCAGTGATTGTCAGTGATTGTCAGTGATTGTCAGTCATTGTAAGCTAATGTCAGTCATTGTCAGCTAATGTCAGTCATTGTCAGCTAATGTCAGTCAATGTCAGCTAATGTCAGTGATTGTTAGCTAATGTCAGTCATTGTCAGCTAATGTCAGTGATTGTCACCTAATGTCAGTGATTGTCAGCTAATGTCAGTGATTGTGAGCTAAAGTCAGTGATTGTCAGCTAATGTCAGTCATTGTCACCTAATGTCAGTCATTGTCAGTCATTGTCAGTCAATGTCAGCTAATGTCAGTCATTGTCAGCTAATGTCAGTCATTGTCAGCTAATGTCAGTCATTGTCAGCTAATGTCAGTCATTGTCAGCTAATGTCAGTCATTGTCAGCTAATGTCAGTCATTGTCAGCTAATGTCAGTCATTGTCAGCTAATGTCAGTCATTGTCAGCTAATGTCAGTCATTGTCAGCTAATGTCAGTCATTGTCAGCTAATGTCAGTCATTGTCAGCTAATGTCAGTCATTGTCAGCTAATGTCAGTCATTGTCAGCTAATGTCAGTCATTGTCAGCTAATGTCAGTCATTGTCAGCTAATGTCAGTCATTGTCAGCTAATGTCAGTCATTGTCAGCTAATGTCAGTCATTGTCAGCTAATGTCAGTCATTGTCAGCTAATGTCAGTCATTGTCAGCTAATGTCAGTCATTGTCAGCTAATGTCAGTCATTGTCAGCTAATGTCAGTCATTGTCAGCTAATGTCAGTCATTGTCAGCTAATGTCAGTCATTGTCAGCTAATGTCAGTCATTGTCAGCTAATGTCAGTCATTGTCAGCTAATGTCAGTCATTGTCAGCTAATGTCAGTCATTGTCAGCTAATGTCAGTCATTGTCAGCTAATGTCAGTCATTGTCAGCTAATGTCAGTCATTGTCAGCTAATGTCAGTCATTGTCAGCTAATGTCAGTCATTGTCAGCTAATGTCAGTCATTGTCAGCTAATGTCAGTCATTGTCAGCTAATGTCAGTCATTGTCAGCTAATGTCAGTCATTGTCAGCTAATGTCAGTCATTGTCAGCTAATGTCAGTCATTGTCAGCTAATGTCAGTCATTGTCAGCTAATGTCAGTCATTGTCAGCTAATGTCAGTCATTGTCAGCTAATGTCAGTCATTGTCAGCTAATGTCAGTCATTGTCAGCTAATGTCAGTCATTGTCAGCTAATGTCAGTCATTGTCAGCTAATGTCAGTCATTGTCAGCTAATGTCAGTCATTGTCAGCTAATGTCAGTCATTGTCAGCTAATGTCAGTCATTGTCAGCTAATGTCAGTCATTGTCAGCTAATGTCAGTCATTGTCAGCTAATGTCAGTCATTGTCAGCTAATGTCAGTCATTGTCAGCTAATGTCAGTCATTGTCAGCTAATGTCAGTCATTGTCAGCTAATGTCAGTCATTGTCAGCTAATGTCAGTCATTGTCAGCTAATGTCAGTCATTGTCAGCTAATGTCAGTCATTGTCAGCTAATGTCAGTCATTGTCAGCTAATGTCAGTCATTGTCAGCTAATGTCAGTCATTGTCAGCTAATGTCAGTCATTGTCAGCTAATGTCAGTCATTGTCAGCTAATGTCAGTCATTGTCAGCTAATGTCAGTCATTGTCAGCTAATGTCAGTCATTGTCAGCTAATGTCAGTCATTGTCAGCTAATGTCAGTCATTGTCAGCTAATGTCAGTCATTGTCAGCTAATGTCAGTCATTGTCAGCTAATGTCAGTCATTGTCAGCTAATGTCAGTCATTGTCAGCTAATGTCAGTCATTGTCAGCTAATGTCAGTCATTGTCAGCTAATGTCAGTCATTGTCAGCTAATGTCAGTCATTGTCAGCTAATGTCAGTCATTGTCAGCTAATGTCAGTCATTGTCAGCTAATGTCAGTCATTGTCAGCTAATGTCAGTCATTGTCAGCTAATGTCAGTCATTGTCAGCTAATGTCAGTCATTGTCAGCTAATGTCAGTCATTGTCAGCTAATGTCAGTCATTGTCAGCTAATGTCAGTCATTGTCAGCTAATGTCAGTCATTGTCAGCTAATGTCAGTCATTGTCAGCTAATGTCAGTCATTGTCAGCTAATGTCAGTCATTGTCAGCTAATGTCAGTCATTGTCAGCTAATGTCAGTCATTGTCAGTAATGTCAGTGATTGTCAGCTAATGTCAGTGATTGTCAGCTAATGTCAGTGATCGTCAGCTAATGTCAGTCATTGTCAGTGATTGGCAGTGATTGTCAGTGATTGTCAGTCATTGTCAGCTAATGTCAGTCATTGTCAGCTAATGTCAGTCATTGTCAGTCATTGTCAGCTAATGTCAGTCATTGTCAGCTAATGTTAGTCATTGTCAGTCATTGTCAGCTAATGTCGTTCATTGACAGCTAATGTCAGTCATTGTCAGCTAATGTCAGTCATTGTCAGTCATTGTCAGTCATTGTCAGCTAATATCAGTCATTGTCAGCTAATGTCAGTCATTGTCCGTCATTGTCAGTCATTGTCATCTAATGTGAGTCATTGTCAGCTAATGTTAGTCATTGTCAGCTAAAGTCAGTCATTTAAGGAATGAAAGGTATATCTTAACACTATGATGGTATATGTTAATATATGCAAGACGTTACTGTTCAATATAGTCCTGTATACGTGGTAGCGCAACTTGGAGGAAATTTTCGAACATATTTCTGTCAAAATCACCACGTAATGATTGATGCCCGATTACATAATCAGTCTGACGGAAAGACCCGAACAGTTCAGCAATGGAACACTCTTACGATTAATAGCTCTCGCTGTTTTTGGATTTAAACAACATTTGTGATTGGTAAGGTTATCTAATGATTACACAATGGAAATACTGTCAGTCATTGTCCACTGTTTAATGTCACTATCAGTCATTGTCCGCTGTTTGATGTCACTGTCAGCCATTGTCCGCTGTTTGATGTCACTGTCAGTCATTGTCCGCTGTTTGATGTCAATGTCAGACTTGTCCGCTGTTTGAAGTCACTGTCAGTCATTGTCCGTTGTTTGATGTCATTGTCCGCTGTTTGATGTCAATGTCAGACATTGTCCGCTGTTTGATGTCACTTTCAGTCATTGTCCACTGGTTGATGTCACTGTCAGTCATTGTCCGCTGTTTGATGTCACTGTCAGTCATTGTCCGCTGTTTGATGTCATTGTCCGCTGTTTGATGTCAATGTCAGACATTGTCCGCTGTTTGATGTCACTTTCAGTCATTGTCCACTGTTTGATGTCACTGTCAGTCATTGTCCGCTGTTTGATGTCACTGTCAGACATTGTCCACTGTTTGATGTCACTGTCAGACATTGTCCACTGTCAGTCATTGTCCGCTGTTTGGTGTTACTGTCAGTCATTGTCCACTGCTTGATGTCACTGTCAGACATTGTCCGCTGTTTGATGGCACAGTCAGTCATTTTCCACTGTTTGATGTCACTGTCAGTCATTGTCCACTGTTTGATGTCACTGTCAATCATTGTCCACTGTTTGATGTCACCGTCAGACATTGTCCACTGTTTGATGTCACTGTCAGACATTGTCCACTGTTTGATGTCACTGTCAGACATTGTCCACTGTTTGATGTCATTGTCAGTCATTGTCCACTGTTTGATGGCACTGTGAGACATTGTCCACTGTTTGATGTCATTGTCCACTGTTTGATGTCAATGTCAGTATTGTCGCTGTTTGAAGTCACTGTCAGTATTGGCTGACTTTGTGAATCAGTGTTTGTTATTTGTCGTTGAGTTTGTTTAGTCATTATACGTTTTCCAGGATAAAAAAAAATACAAACAAAAAGGCACAATAATAATCTCAAACTACAATGTACATGCTTTGTGAATCATTGTCGAAAGAATCGGGGGGAAGGGGCACACATTTTTGTAGCCATTTTTGTGCCGATGAAACCAAAAACAAGTAAACGGACATGATTACTAAATTATAACGACCATGCATGGCGATGAAAGGGACAAAACTCTGGAATCTACATAAGCCGACTATACACACTATATAACATGGCTACTGTACAATGGTGGACGATGTCTGCTCTCTAAATACAAAGCGCATGCGCCCGTAAATACCTACCTCTTATGGCACGCCCTAAAACACGGTAAATGCTGAAGTAAGTCCTAACATACCGACGATATCAAACTATTTCTGGATTGAACATTAATTTGATTAAACATCTATCAAATTTATTCGAAATCCCAGTCAAATAGCCTCCCATCTGTCTTAACGTTATTGAAATTTTAGATTAATATTACACAGTTTGGTCTACATATATGCATCCAGAAATTTCATACAAACATTTTGAAACCTGATTTAATGTCTATATAAAGAAAACCTGTACAGTTTTAAATGATATATATCTAGGAAAACGTATCGATGTCAGATTGTGTATGTGTAAGTTCGACAGTGACATTATTATGATGTATTTACCTATGATAGGTTTTCTGCTTGTCTTCATTAGACGCTCCATGACTGATGCCGGAAGTGGTTTGAACTTTGGAATTGTGGGTATAATTGGCTTCTCCTCCTTCACAGTGTTCATCATGAGCAGATCCATGTTTGGCTTTTCTTTGACCGGTTCCGGTTCCTCCGGTACAAACTCTGGACGGAAATACGCCTTAACAGTGTCCTCGTCTATGTCAATCTTCAGGGTGAAGGTCGAAGCTTCCTTCATTTTGGCATCACTCTCCATATTTACAGGGAGGAGGTTTATTGCACCGCTTATTGCTTTTTCGTCATTATTTTTCGGCTCGATTATAAATTTCCGACAACTATCCGGCAGGTGCCGGAAGTACTGAAAGTCTCTGTTCTCCGTGTAATCACTGTCGAAACTGACCTTAATATCTTCTACAACTTCCAACGTCCATTTCATACCATCAAACAGCTCAAAGCCTTGTATCTCCTTCACTTTATTTGGTTTTGGCTGTGATCGCCGGAATGGTTTGTTTTCCACTATTTCCTCTTTACGTAGAATCTGCTTCCCAATATGTTTAAATCCCCGCTCTTTCATCTCCTTAATCCGGGTCTCCGATTTACTTTGTGGGAAGCATTCCAACACCACGAACCATAACTTCTCTTGGATGTTCAGAAAAGCGATTACTTCCCCCTTTTCTTTGTCACTTCTTCCCTCGACGATAGGCACCGCCGCCAGCACCCTTTTGGCTCGATCAGGCTTGGTCTGGACCACACAAAATCTACAAGGGTCAAATAAAGCCTAATAAATGTTTGTATTGATTTGACTCGGTAAGGCTCTCTCAACAAAATGAAACAAGATATCTTGAACGTGACCTTAAAAGAACTATTTCAACAATTTGTTTTTATCTTGTTGTCATAAAACTGTTACATTTTGGCGTTTCTCGCGATGATTCAGTCGAATTATGATCATGGTTGGCTCATAATGAAGAACGATAGCATTTGTCTAATCGAGCACGCTATGATATGATTTAATGTTGGCTATTCTCCTAATGCTAGACTTTTTCGGGTTGATTCGTATAGACAACACAAACAGCGATGACTTGGTGCAGTATTTGTAATTCTAACTTTTGATTGGTTGAAGTTTCTCGACGAAGGAATTACTGCGCGATTGATGTTTTGTGCAAATTTGTTTTGCTTTTATCAGAAATTAATATTTTTGAGGCTATAAAGGTCTTACGAATGTGTCACTTTCATGAGAAATAAAACTTCAACTCATGCTGATTCACTTGCAGAGGAATAGAGTTTCCACGCGTACTGCATTACACACACCAAAAGCTTCGTCCTGTCATTTCTGGTAACTATTCACGACTGACACACAAATATCTGATATGTGATATATAGATGGACCTGCATGTATTTAAACCTTACCAGGTAAGGGAAAGGGTTCGTGTAGGGGCTGAATCAGAACCTTTCCTAAAGAGAACAGGGGTTCATGTAGGGGCTGAATCAGAACCTTACCAGGTAAGGGAAAGGGTTCGTGTAGGGGCCGAATCAGAACCTTTCCTAAAGAGAACAGGGGTTCATGTAGGGGCTGAATCAGAACCTTTCCTAAAGAGAACATGGTTTTATGTAGGGGCCGAATCAGAACCTTACATAAAGAGAACAGGGGTTCGTGTAGGGGCTGAATCAGAACCTTTCCTAAAGAGAACAGGGGTTCATGTAGGGGTCGAATCAAAACCTAACCTAAAGAGAACAGGGGTTCATGTAGGGGCTGAATCAGAACCTTACCTAAAGAGAACAGGGGTTCATGTAGGGGCTGAATCAGAACCTTACCTAAAGAGAACAGGGGTTCATGGAGGGGTCGAATCAATACCTAACCTAAAGAGAACAGTGGTTTATAAAGGGTCTGTATTGGAACCAAACCTAAAGAGGACAGGGGTTTATTAAGGGTCTGTATTGGAACCTTACCTAGACAGTGATTTGACGTCAAACGTGACCGTGGTCCGTGTGTACTTGTATTTACTTTCCACCAGTTCCCAACCATTCTCCATTTTCTGGAAAACTCCGATGGTGGTTGAACTTTCGTCTTCAAGCTCTACACCGCCCGGTAGAGGGAGCTTTACTGTCGCTGCTCGCCGAAAGTTGCAAGGAATGCTGGGAATTAAATCGATAAACTCTGTGGCCAGAACGAGATCGCAGAGCTCGGTAGGATAGAAGTCTTTAGCCAGCTCTAGCTTGTCTGAAGAGATGGGTGTGATCTGAAGAAAATTACAGTATTATATTGAATAAAGCAAATCATGTTGCAATAATTTGTGCTAATTTCTGTTGTTGTATGAACTAACATTCAAACAAAGATAGGAAATGCGCATTTTTTTATGCAAACATTGACACATATATAGTTCCGTTTTGATCATTGTGATTGCCTCACTCACTTACAGTAATCAGAAAGGATAGGCACTCGATATACGTAATAACTTAAAAGGACCAGATGCAACTATTGTACTGAAACATCCAATCAGACATGGCGGCCGTACCTGGATTGCGCACTGGAACGACTTGTCGGCTGCCTTCTTGGGGAAGCGGATGCTGATGTACCTACTTATGTGTGCGTTATACAGACAGCCCTGGGGTGTTACGTCAAACAACTCCTTCTTTGGGGTGAAGGTCACCACAAAAATGCCAAGCCGGTCTATCTCCAGTTCTACACACGGGGTGGAGCTATCCTCCTGTACACATATACATGTATATTAGTAAAAGAGTATAAGTGAAAAAATCTACAATATTGCATGACGTCACCAAACTGTAATGACAAAAATAAAAAATAAAGTTAGAAGAAAATCTGCTATCAAATTGAAGAACTCCTCGTCACTGAAGCTTTTCAATAAGATCACATACATGTTGTTTATACTGAAATGATTTTGCCGCTTTGTTAAATGCAGCAGGCAAAAAACAAACAAGTAAAATCAGCTACTAGTATTGATTTAACAATGTGTCTGTTGGACGGATCCTGAGACCCAAGTTAAGATACGAGTGAAACACTCTATCTAGGTTCCACCTTGACATGGGTCAAAACAACCTATTCGTCATGACGTCTTTTTTCAAATGAAATAAATTCGATGAAAACATATGGCATAGGCTGTTAAGGGTTTCCCACTATTGTGTCAAGGAATGCTGACTTTTCAGGTTAAAATTCTCGAAAATGTTAAGAGCAAGTCGTTGTTATATCCTGTACTTCCAGACAAACAGCGCCTATACTAACGCGCCTTATCAATCAAATTATAAAGTACAATTTCGGTAGCAAAGTAATAATAAAACCCAAGGTCGATATCTTAACGCATTGTGTGCTGATAGATGTCGTTAACTTTCTAAATTCATTTTATGTAAAAGAATTGTATTGTATGTTATAACTGTGCTGAAACTTGGACTATACTATTGTTTATCTGACGCCCCTTTCTGTGTGGAGCGGGTATTGACAGACGTACAGAAGTAGACCAGTCCAATATAAGCTGTGTGGAGCGGGTATTGACAGACGTACAGAAGTAGACCAGTCCAATATAAGCTGTGTGGAGCGGGTATTGACAGACGTACAGAAATAGACCAGTCCAATATTAGCTAAGTAAATGTAGGTATGGTATTGTTAACCTGTCCTTCTCCTGTCAAGCCGCGCTTTCCGGGGCATAGTTTCTTGTTTGTTACTAAAAGTTTGTAGTGATTGAATAAAGTTTTTCACAAACATTGTCACTAGAAATATTTACTATGATACGTTATCGCTTGTTGATATTTTGAAAGAGTCCATAATTAAGGAAGAAACGATTTCCAGTTGGACCGACTTATTTTTCTCGAGTTATTGTGGAATCAGATTGTATCCGTGTGATAATTAGACAGGAGATGCCGTCCGTAGCAGGCTGTGGGAATGTCCTGTTGATCTGCCACATGTACGTGGCATTTGTTGAACAGAATGCCAAGCCAATAATTGAATATGTTAACATTTAATCGTGTGTGAATGCTCACTACCAATAATCAGCGTACGCACAGACAAAGGTCGTGGACCAAACTGCTCATTGATTTCTCACACTCGACGTTTCGAGGTATAATGTTCCGTCAATGTGTAAGCTGTATGTAGAGGCTTTAGTCGGCACATCAAACAAGTGGAATTGCCTGTGAGTAGCTGTAGCAATAAAGCAACGGGAATATCACTAAAGTCCGGATATTTCCTAATTCAAAATCGCATTATCATACAAGGTCTGTTGGCTTTGTTACGTTTTCTGTCAAGTTGGAAGTTACATATATTGTAGTTTTATGGCGCACAGTTGACACTCCACGACACCCGGCTGTAGGTATTATCAATTTAACCTGCAGTTTTACTGCGGAAAATATGGTTTCTAAAATCGTTATAGTTTCATGAAGGTTTTAATTTATACATAAATTATTATTAACGTAACATATCCAATGAATAAAAACAAAAGGAGGGGCGGAATGAGGAGAGATAGAACTATGTTTGAGTCAGGTTTTTTTCCATATTATGAGACACATTTTACAAAAAAACACAAAGTACCATAAATGACATTTACCTTCTTTAGAAATCCCACGTTAACCCATTCCCTTTCGTCTTTCCATTTGCCTTTCACATTTAACTCGTTATGTTCTGGGTCTATCTGGTAAAACGGTATTTGCACAATTATATTTTTCTTCAAAGTTTGAACAGTTGATGTCAGCACAAACATTTCACTGGTCACATGTTCGTACGATGTAAGAACGGGACAGTGACGCCATCTTTGCGCAGGTGGCGCCACTTGACATGTTATAGAGTCCTTCTTTCCAAATAGACCTTCCGGTACAACTAGTTTAGCACCGACGGGTAATCCATAACTTCCTCCCTTCTTCCCGGGCGTGTAGGTCACTTTCAAACTACAATATGAATATGTCAATTAACATTTTAAATGTTACATATGAATACAGATAGTTATATAAAAAAAATCAAATCATTAATAACATAAGTTCAGATAACAAAAATTCCACGCTAATTAAAATAAAATAACAGCAAACTTCCAAACTCTGTTATTTTAACCGTTTTGAAGTATGACAATATGGTGCAGCGTTTTGTATCGACATACTTAATATACGCATACGACAACAAATCCACTGAATAATGATATATGAAACAGGTTATATAACTAACAAATATATCACTTTATTACACACAAATATTACACACAGATTCCTTTTAGTCCCTAGGAAAAAATATGAATAAAGGAAGGATTTACATGAACATCCTTGAAAAGGGAAAAGGAGATCAAGACAAGGTGTTCCAGAAGGGTGTGTGTTATCGACGACGACAACAGCCGTGTAGATCAAGTCACGTCCTCAAAGTGAGGCCGCGGTAGTGAAACAAAGCTCACTTATTAGCCTAATCAAAAACATCGACCCCCAGATTCTCACGGAGATCATCGTCTCCACAAGCATCGACTCTCATATACTCAATGAGATCCTCACAAACACCGACCCTCAGATTCTCAATGAGATCATAGTCCTCACAAAGATCGATCCTCAGATTCTCAATGAGATCCTCACAAACACCGACCCTCAGATTCTCAATGAGATC